CAGTCTGAAATTCTTTTAGCTAGAAGCATCTGCCAGAAAAACCAGTGCCATTAGCAACAAAAATCTGCGGGGAACTATGCAAAAAACTCATCTTCGCACGGGCAGCCCGTGCGTTGGCCAATTACTTAATGTTGTATTCATTAAATGTCCTGGATTTCTGTTGCTGAAACAAAAGTGGAACGAAATTGGTGACTAATTTCTTATGTAAAGTATGTATGTGATGTATGCATATGTGTGTGTGTTATGCAATGCATGTATAAGGAATAAAGTAAAACTAGTTACTGCATTAAAAATGGAAAATCAAAATCATTTTTTTTTAAGTTTTCAAAGCAAAAGCATAACACTTGCATTGGTAATAACAATTAATACCTGTATATCCGTAAAATTCCAATGCAGGCACATTATCGTGGTGTGAGAATGGCAGTGGGCTAAGCAGATTGAACCTGTGGGAGCATTCGAGTAAAATCATCAAACAAACACACCCGTACTGATAGCCCGAGAGACCTTGGTATTTTTGGTATATATTCGGCAAAGCGGGCCTAAGACCGGTAAATTCAGGTCACTGTAGAGGATTCAGAATTAAACGAAAGACACAAGTTGATTTTGCTAGTTAAGCTGACGGAAAACAAACACAAATTTAGAGAAGCATTTCAGCTAATGGACGTAAATTCGGTCTTTTTCGGTCTTTGCATGGTTTATTGCTGCCAAAGGATAAAGGGAATGAAAACGCTGAGAAAGTCGAAATCTCCCATGTTTGACTCTTTTAAAGTTGTGAATAATTCTGTGTGCGACAAAATTGATCCAAGAGCGATGGTGAAGTTAGCCAATAATCTGTTGTGCGCACAACAAGCATTGCAGAAAAGTTGCCTAAGCTTTCTGGATTTTTTCGACAACATCATAAACAGCTTGCTGCAGGCGAATATAGGTGCGGCACTGGTCGTAGATACCAAATTTCATGGCATTCGTAACATAAGCAATTGTGAGATTGCTTTTTGCATCGTGGATCACTTGTTGACAACCGTAGCCCGAGTGACCGTACGCATGCGTGACCTGCAAAAGCGACCGGTGAAGTGTGGTCGCTTTGAGTCAACGAACGATTCTTGAACTGTGAAGAATTTAAGCAAAGTTCAATGTTAATTCAAGTTTAAGGTGAGCAGATAACTGCATTTGCAAGCTGCTTTCCACCTTTTATAATACACTGAAGACAAACCTGGGCACGATTTATGTCAAAAAATACGAGGCCATTACCCTTTGCCACGCGTTCATTCAAACAAACATCGGTCATGTTTACGGAAACTTTGTTTAGAAGTTGTTGAGTTGGTGATGATATAACATTGCCGGTTAGCAACTGCAACAAAGCAATTATCCCAAAGGCATAGCAACACCCGATGTCCTGACTCATCTCAGGGAATGCCATTAACATCAAACGCCGATTTCTTTTTAGCTTGTAATTGGTAAATTTCATATCCGAAACGATAACAATAACGCGAACTTTTTTAGGGTGAGGAGCCTTCTACTAATTTTTTTGAAAACACATTACAAAATAATAATGTCATTTATTTTGTAAAAGCGTTCCAAAAAAACCTTCGGTGTTCTGGCATTTTTGGAAAACAATTAAATAAATTACGTGTTTAAAAAAACAAAATTTTGTACAGTTTCGAGAAAAACAATAAAAATTAAAAGATTCTGAGATAGTATCAGCTTTCAGTGACGCCATCAATTTTTAGATATTTTCTTTGAAAACGGAAATTTTTAGTTTGCTCCACAAAGAGACTCATTAGTAGTTCAAGAAAAATGACTGTAGTTCACTCGCCGGCATTTATTTCCCAGTTATGTATGTTTGAAAACAAGTGGATTAAATAAATGAAACTAAATATTTTAAAATTTGTACAAGGTCAGTACACTGGCTTCAGGCAACGCAATTATTGTCGCAGATCTGGTTCTACTTAAACATTATCTCTTTTTTCTGCAGCTACTTGAGTAAATCGTCCGTAAAGTGCCGAACCAGAAGGACTGTAACCACCTCTTCAGTACCACTGCGTTGAAAGCAATAAAGTACGAATGAGAAACTTACTCACTGACGAAAATGCAAAAGCTATTGATAGCGAAAGAGAAAGAGACGGAACAACGGAGTGAAGAATGCTCGTCATTTCCACGGAAGCAGCGAAACTCCCTTTCAGGTGAACAGCGAGAAATTTATTAGAAACCATGCCAGACAGTAAAACCTCGAAGCAGGGCATGTCCCTTGTGTCATTGGGAACGTGTGGGTAATAGTGAGAAAAAGTGAACAACCGCACCACTGGCCTCCGAAGAGGTGGCGTATGTACATCGAACAAGCGGTGGGTTCGTCTAACAGAAAGTAAGCATCTCAAGCCGAAGGACCTAGTAATATTTGCGTCCCACTTTTGGCAGAAGCTCAGTAAAATCACTAGCGTGTTGTTCTCACACGGACTGTCCATGTGATTCAGCATACCATGTGTTTGACTAATTTGCACCACAAATATATTTTTAATAACTATACTTGCATAGTTATATTTTTACTAAACTAAAGCAACAATATTAGGTGCAGCGTATCACGCTTAGATTTAGTAACCATGCTACTTCAGTTTATGTTTGAATATTTCGAGACTGCGCTTAAAAACAGACTTACAGTTTGCTTCCAGATAAAACAGAGCTAGACTTTAAGTTAGGCAATTCGAGCAACTTGTAATCTGTTTTTCAAAAAAGTGGCAAAGGCAACCGCCGCCATCCTAGCTAGAAATTAGTTTTGAGTTTGTAAAAGTACACTTGCTCGCGCTCCAAATGATTACCTCCATCAATCATGGAAAGAGAAGCAATGGTGCGAAGATTTTGAGAAGGCTCTTATCAGTGATTTCCATCTTGTTACATTTATTTTCGAATCAACATCCACGGATAGCGGCATCTCTCTTGCAGTCACATCATACATCCACAGTGACGGATTTGCGACACATAAACAACAAAGGAAACAACGAGAACTACCAAGCCAATGTGCTACACAAGAGGCGGCTACTCCAATTCTAGGGATTTTGCAACCAATCATAAAAATTTCACCTGTCGTTTTATCAAAATTCCCTTTAAATTTATTACGGCCCATAATGAGCGATGAGAGCTTTCTGCCAGCCATTGAAAACCTATTGTTAGTAGTTATTACTAATTTTGACACAAAGAGGAAGGTAAGGAACGACAGAAGTGATAGGCTAGCAGAAGTGCCTTCTGATAGTACCTGGTTCCGAAAAGATACGGAACAAAGATAGATGGCTTGCACCACATGCAATAAATACTCTGCGAAGTAAAGCACTCTAGGTAAAACACTGCAAAAATCCAGGCTGGAACGCACCAGGCGAGCCGGTGCGATTATGCGTTATGGCACTTTCGTGCCGTAGCAAGATCGCAAGGAATCACAGTAACTAACCCTATGACATATTGGTCCCTGAAGTTCGAGTAGTTAATTCTGCAGCTATGTGGTATGTCAGTCGTAGATGTTGACTTCAGTGACCCGACAAATGGAAAGTTTGCTGGTCCACGAAAAGGGCTGCACTAGAAGAGTTAAATTTGGCATTCCCTTAATATTAAAGCCTTCAGCTTTTTCCGTTCCTGAGTTAGCATTTTTCCCATCAAAATTTTCACTTGTCCTTGCGTGAGTACTGAACGGTTTTAAGGAGATGAATTTAAGATCTTTTGGTCATACATGAGTAGGGATATTACTCTAAAGTTTCAGCTTTCTAGCTTTTTTCGTTCCCGGGTTAGTGATTTTCGCACCAAAATTTCCACGTGACAGTACGTGAGCCCTGTTGCGGTCCTAAGGAGCTGAGTTTGAAAACCTTTGGCCGTACATGAGCAGGGGACATTCCTTTATGGTCTCAACTTTCTAGCTTTTCTCATTCCCGAGTTATGAATTTTCCCGCCATAATTTTCACGTGCCCGTA